GGAACTCGAACGAATTGCACATTACTTGGAATAACCTTCGCCTTAAGGTAATTTCTGGAACTTGGGGATGAGCGTCCAATGTCCCTCATCTTAAAGCGGTGTCTTAATTCAAAAAGCACGGTATTTACCCTACTCATTAATTCAGGGCATATCTTCAATCGTGCAGCCACTGTATCTCCGTCAGGAAACTCGAATCCTTCAATTCGGGGCCTGGCTTCAGCTGGAAGAACATCAGGTGGGCCATGGCCGAGTAGATTCTGATTAGGGATTGAGCCCGCTGGAATGAGTTGCAGTGGTAGTGGAGGTACTTCAGGTTCGCCTTGACCACGTCTGGTATTTAATACTCGGCTAGCGGTTACGTATGGAGAAATGTAACATTCATAAACATTATGGTTTAATGCATCAATAGCACCGAACGTCCCAGCTGGAATATCTCCGTCAGCAGCTTGAGGAATTGCGGCGTCTGGTAAATTAAACTTAATTTCTTCACCATTTACAGTTGTGGTATTTCCTACGCTAGTTATGTAGTGATACAAATTTTCCGGTAAACATAAATCTTCAGGTAATAGGTCTTGGCATCTTGCTGAATCCATCTTTCTCTCACCATTTTCTAAAGTTAAGTCAATAATGTACGCATTGAGTACAGTACACATTGAATGTTGGAACATGCTGAAGGGCATACGTCTATCCAACCGTGGGTCTACACCCCTAAGCGCCTCATAGGTACGCTCCACCTGATCAATAAAGCCACCAAACTCAAAGTTCTGAGAATAGGTCTCCTGTACAGGGATCGAGCTAGTATGGGGTCCTAAGTCATAGAGAGGTTCATCGATTGGAGCGGTTTCTTCCTTAGCTCTAAAGTCATATGAAGTAGCGGCATCAGTTTTGACTTCCTTCGCTGCCTTCTTTTCTTCCTTTTGTTTCTTCCAGTTTGTTGATCTCTGAGTAGGTCCACGTGACTTCTGTTCTCGTTGCTCAAATTCGCGAACTTGATTCCAATCATTGCGAAGAGCTTGTTGTTGTTGAAATTCGTAAGCACGGCGGTCATTTCTACTGCCTTGTGTCATACCACCAGCGGGATTACCACGCGATTGCGGTTGACGTCTTCCATTGCCTTGGGCTTGGGTATCATTATTATTTGCCATCCTGGCTGCAATTGCAATTATTTATTTAAACACACTTAAAAACGACGGATGATCCGCAAAATAAAAATCGATGGTATAATTACGCAAATTATGACAGGGCACGGTGGGTTCTCGGAGTACTTGAATCGCTTTAAGTGCAAAGAGAGCCCATCGTGTGCATGCGAGCCAGGAACAGAGGAATCCGTCCCACACATCCTTTTCGACTGCCCAATACCTGCAATGCAAAGGTTTGAATTGGGAAATAAAATAAATGAAAACATTGTAAGGGAAAATGTACCAAACATCTTAAATAGTAAAGAAAGAGACACGTTTTTAAAATTCTGTATCGAAATCGCTCAAAATGTTATAAACAGAAACAAAACAGCGTAGCAAGTAATTATGCTATCATAATATAGTGNAACAGAATAGATAACAATGTCATCCAGATAAACAAAACATTGCAATCCTTGCAGACCTGAAATTGCCGAATTCATCAGTCTTTGGAATGTAGATGTCATTTTTAAGACCAAAAGGCATACGACTAAATTCGAATTGACCTTGAGGAACAGTAAAAGCTGTCTTCGCAGAATCCTCAGAGTTCATTTGGATTTGATGTAACCCGGAGGCAAGGTCTAACGTGCTAAAGTATTTACTCTTACCAAGTTGGTCTAATATTTCAGAAATGTTTGGAATGGGGTATGAGTCTCCGATGGTGATATCATTAAGCTTTCGGTAGTCTATGACTACACTCCACTTCTTTTCACCAGAAGCGTCAGCTTTTTTAGGTACGACCCAGATTCGAGATGACCAGGGCAATGCTGAAGGTTTAATGATACCTTGTTCTAACATTTTGTGGATTTGTGTGTTGACTTCCTTTTTGCGGCACTCTGGGAAGCGATTGGTTTTAACGTGGATGGGAGTTAATGTTATCGTTTTTATTTCGTGTTTTATTTCATTTGTATATGTTAAGAGATCGCCAGGGAGATGGAAAATGTCTGAGAATTGTTGGCATACTTCGAAAAGCTGTGGCTTCTCTTCGTAGTTTAGATGGGCGATACGAATTTGTTTAAGAACTCTTTTTGTTCTAAGGTATGCATTGTGCTTATTAGGGTTGTTAGAATTATGTGTGTTGTCCGAATCAATATTGTATATTTTTTGTATTTGTCCTATGTTATCGAGTGGTGTCAATTTTAATTTTAGATCGGAGTTAAAAGATAGGGGTTGTTCGGATGTATTTACAACAGATATGTTGATTCTCGAGTTTTCTTTGATTTTGACGATTCAGTTGGCAATGAGTAGGTTTTCAATTGGACGTTGATCTAAAATGAAGCCTTCATGGATATCAGGATTTAATACGGTACATTCAATTATGGTTTCGGATCTTGGAGGAATTACGCATATAGGCTCGTTTTATTGTTATTTAATTGTAACTTAAAGGGAATTTTATTTAATATTAGTTGATGTTTGGTGTAGTCGATTTTTCCGTGCATTACATTAAAAATGTCGTTCCCAATTATACCATCATAAGGTAAATTCACTCCGTCGACAATGTGAAAGTTGTATTTTAGTGCGTCGAATTGAATTAGGATATGCCCGAGGGTCGATTTTGTACCTGATGAGTCAATACCTTTGAATTTAATAATATGTTGAGTGATTTCAGGTAACGTCTCGATTGATGATTTTGATATTAGACTAATAGATGCACCTGTGTCGATTAGTAGTGATAGTGGTTTCGAAGAAATAGAGGTAATTGTTTTTATATAAGGCAAGTATTTATGGGAGATATTTGTGCTATAATTATAAATTTTAGAATCATGTGTCGTTTCATTGATAGTGATCGTTTTAGTTGTAATCTTGGGCGAGTGATGTATGCCTAAATTTTCAGGGTAGCGACGAGACCATGTAGCGGACGTCACTGAGTGCGATGTTTGTAGGCAATTCGATTCGCAAGATTTGGTATTTTGATTTTTAAATGATTTTGTGTCGGATTTTTGAATAGAGCGGCCCGACGGACACGATCGCGAGCCTCTACTTAGTTTAAAAACGAAGGGTCACACTTGTTGATGTTGTCAACCGTGTCCTCCCCTTCTTCCGCGAAATTGACGCGGTTTTCATTAGGCTTGTTTTGTGGAAAATCGTACCGTTTATTGTTGTTGTACTACCTTTTTCGACAGTTTTCGATTACTTGTCCATTGATTTTGCAATATCGACAGAACAGGGGATAAGTACGTGGTCTCCTTTGATGGCCGAAATTTGGTCTCAAGTCTGGAGTTTCGTTTTTGGCCTTATAAAACGTTTTAGGTCTTGAAGTACTCGGTTCGTTCACAGCAATAGGTCTCCGATACATGAATTTCAGAATCTTTTCTTCGGAAACTGCAGTGTTAACGGCTTCGTTAAGGCTTAGGGGATTTTTACACCGAACTATATTTGAAATATTCGGCTTCAATCCGATTAAAAAGGTGTGGAGGGCTAGGNCTGGAGTTTCGTTTTTGGCCTTATAAAACGTTTTAGGTCTTGAAGTACTCGGTTCGTTCACAGCAATAGGTCTCCGATACATGAATTTCAGAATCTTTTCTTCGGAAACTGCAGTGTTAACGGCTTCGTTAAGGCTTAGGGGATTTTTACACCGAACTATATTTGAAATATTCGGCTTCAATCCGATTAAAAAGGTGTGAAGGGCTAGGTCTTCCATAGCTGCTAAGCGACCGACTAATTCGTTGTTTTTTTTGTTTGTTAACGTTATTTCCGTCAATAGTTTGGAAAGGCACGTTTCTAAGCGTAACGCGAATTGAGTAACTAATTCGGTTAATTGTTGACGACATTGTTGTAAATCGGTTAAAAGGTGTGTGTAATGTTTTCGTTCTCCGAATTGCGTTTTGAGGAAGTCATTTAATTGATCTCATGAGTCAAAGTCTTTAATGGAGCACGCAATTTCAGCTTTTCCTTCAAGTTGGGATAGAATAAATTTTAGTAGTATATGTTTTTGTGACTCTGAAGCAAGATCGATTGCGTTTTCACAGTTTGTTAGAAAGCATGTTAGTTTGTCGCGTGATCCGTCAAAGGGCTTTATGAATTTGAACAATGTCCCTATTTGTATAAATTCTCCCTTTTCGGTTTTTGTGGTTTGCGTTTCTTTTTTAGACATGGCTGTTGAAGTTCGAGAAATATTTAAGCAACAATGAAATTACGACACGGTGTAATAGTCGGACCAACAAGTAATTCGATAACGCTACCGTCTCGACGTGATGAACACCGGATTGTTGACTCAATGACTAAAAATATTGTAACTAAGTTATCAAAATTATTTCGATATAATTTATATAATTTGATATACAGTTTTTAAACAATTTTCTTTGCAGATTATACTAATTTATTAATAAGGAGATGATATCATATGTTATCATCTAATTATAATAATGTCTATAAATTTGCAATTTCTTGACTCGAGATAGCACTGTTTCACTTACTACATAGATGAACACCACCATAGGAAGGATTTCAGGAGCATGATGCCATGTCTTCTGTTGCTTGGCCTTGGTGTGATTGATTGTGTAGCCTCAGGATGGAGATATAGTAGGGGCTCGACTTCACCCAATTTGCGTAATAAAGAATGTTTTAAAATTGGGGTTTATTTTTCCTTTTGAGAGCTTCCGCTGCGTGCACTGCGGAAACGGTTAAAGTTTCGCTAAAATAATGTATGACAAAATTATTCCCCTTTAAAAGATCTAAAAAAAAGTCCGCGACAGCATATGTCTATATGTTAAGGTTGGCTCACTATAACGTTTTTTATGCTGTAAAATTTTGCGTTATGCCAAAGTAACCATTCTACGCGGACGAAGTCGCGGGCAAAAGTTAGTAGATTATAATCTTTTCCAGACCACCGCAGTCATCCACTTATGTCTAATGATATTCGAGGAGATCCCCCTCCAGATGAACATCCTAGGTCTGATACAGCAGCTTCTGCACCTGCTTCTGCTGCGGGACTTCCCCGCGGTCCGGGTGACCAGCTTCAGTTTCTTGACCGCACTGATGACGCTCGCGGTTCATCATTATCTGGCCTTCAAGTACTTCGGAGCGGTGTACTACGCTTTTTCGGAGGTGAGTTGAAACGAGCTTTGCTTAGATGGGTGGACGAGCTCACAGCCCATCTAGTGTTAAGTGGTTACTGGAGCCCATAGACATCTACAACGAAAATACGTCACCCACCTTGAGATATGAGTTCTAAGGTCTCAGTATAGTTACAACGGATGCCCCACCCTTCAAACCGAAACGCATTACTGCTTCACGGCAGAAATAGGCGGGGTGGAACGTTTGCCTACGTTTGCCGCTAGGGGCGCTGTTGCTTGTAGTTGCTGTGCTCCCTAAATACCGTAAGATCGAAGTCGTCGATTACGACGAAGAGTTCGACGAGTAAATTAACCCTCAGACACAGCCCACTGAGTTTCTCAGTGGGTCGCGTACCCGATCCGGTGGTAGATTCTGCGAAGCACGGCTCTTGCTAGGGCCAGTGTTGGTTAATTCTCGCAGGTTGAGCCCGTGAGCTCACCTACCCGTCCGGGCTTAGGTTAACAGTAAATAGGTAGGGGGGAAACAAAGCACACTAAATTGAAGCACACAAAGTTATTACTGGTGGTAGGACCTCTTGTGAGTCCGCACGGGTAGGTACAACCACCCTACCTATTTCTGCCGTGAAGCAGTAATGTGTTTCGGTTTGAAGGTTGGGGCAGTCGTTGTAACTACACTGAGACCTTAGAACTCATATCTCAAGGTGGGTGGCGCATTTACGGTGTAGATGTCTATGGGCTCCAGTAACCGCTTAACACCAGGTGGGCTGTGAGCTCATCCACCTAATTAAGGAAAAAAAAGTGATGCTGAATTGTTCGCTACGGTTGTCTCCCATCCAGGTGCTGGCCTACTTCACGCTCTGTCTATGGGTGGTTCCCTTCGGTCTTTTCGTGTCCCTCTCAGCAAACGACTACGTGCTACCAACGACAGAAGAGAAGCACCCGCTGTTGGGTAAGAAGATGAGTTGTTTTAAACTTAACTGGACTTATATGACTGGGATTTTAGGGCGAATTTTTGAATCGCGTTTTTTATTGCTTTGATGGGTGAACGAAGTCACAGCCCACCCGTTGTTAAGTGGTTACCGGAGCCTATAAGCATCTACAACGATGATCGATGTTTTTGATTCAACTTCAATTAATTTTGATTGAATGACGTTTTAAAATTTTGTCTTAATACAAACAGACACAGATCCGGCTAGTAAAGGCAACTTACAACTTAAAACTGTATTTGCGCTTAGAACACTTAGAACGCTTCACAAACACTTTAAAACTCTCAATTCGCGTTTTACGCTTCGCTTCAGGTGATCCGTTCGCTGTTTCGCTTCGAGTAGTTCCGATTATTAACTGCTTTCGTGCCATCTCTGCAACGTTTTTATAGTCGAGACGAAATCCCTAGACTCGTCGAGAACATTCCTCACAAGTCGCGTTACACATCGAGTCGAGTGACATAGTTACTTCAGTGCGCCGCGTAGGGCACCGGTGACCTACACGACAGTCGAAGGGTTATTAAGTAACCAACTAATACCTTTTGTTTCCAGGTGACAGTAACGTTCTGACAGATTATCTGTCGCGTAAATCGAAAAAATACAGTCTACTCTCGTTCTTCAGTTACGCCAAGGAGTCCATTCTACCTCACCGGAACAAGAAGGCGTTCTGATTTGACATTCGCAAGTGTCATCTGTCAGTTTGTGGGCGATATTATCTGTGGAGGGTAGACGCAAGGAGGAGTGACTCAGTGGATTAAAAAGTGTCCGCTAAAGGGAAGCCAATTAAGATGGCGCCACAGTAGCAAGAGGAAGGATTTTTTAAAAAAGCGCCATAGTTAAAGTAGGATATTAAATTATGAAGGAAAAAACATGTCCTACGTAAAAGTTATAATGATATGGAGATGGAGTATAGACTGATATATTTCAGAATGAATAAAGAAATAAAAGACTTAATTGTGTTTTCTGTGATATAATAAGAAAACAATATTTAAAACCCTTAATCTCATTTAAAATTAATGTTAAAAATTTAACAGTAAACAGTGTTAATAAATTAGACAAAACTGAACACTCTTTTTACTGAATGACAGACTTCACTCTATGACACTGAATAAAAATCCTTTTTAAACACAAGTTTTAAATAATAAAGGTTTTTCTTTACATAATAATAAAAATAAATAGTTGAGATTTTAAATGCTAAATATTTTTTAACTACACAAGACACGAAAAATATTATCTTTTTCAACTCCGCTTAAAACTGCTCTATATTCATATCATTTCCATTTGCTACACTAGCGCCATTTCGGTGAGGCTTTGAACAACGTGATGTTTACAGGCGGACACTTCTTCAACTTGTCCCCAATACAAGTTACTTATTTATTATTATTATTATAATATTTTTACGGGTGGTAGGACCTCTTGTGAGTCGGCGCGGGTAGGTACTACCACCCTGCCTATTTCTGCCGTGAAGCAGTAATGCGTTTCGGTTTAAAGGGTGGGGCAGCCGTTGTGACTGTACTGATACCTTAGAATTTGTATCTTAAGGTGGGTAGCGCATTTACGTTGTAGATGTCTATGGGCTCCGGGAACCACTTAACACCAGGTGCGCTGTGAGCTCGTCCACCCAACTATACAATAAAAAAAAACTTATTTCTAACTTACTTCTACCCTCCAGTTATAATAAATGACCTAAATCTTTGTAAGTAGGTGGAAATAATAAAGGTATCTAGTCAAAGGAAATTTAAAAGACATGGTAATAATTTGATGTTTTTCACTGAATTAGACGGTCGTATTGGTTCACCGTGAGCACTATCTTGAGGTCGATGTCTCAATAAACTCGAAACAACAGCTGCACTGCGCTGTTGCACTTTTTTTTTTTTTTTCTAAAATCATCATTCAACTTGTATGGTTTTGATGGTGTAAATACGCGTATTATAATTTTTAAGTATAGCAACATTTTTGTGTCCAGAGATTTAGTGTAAGCTGTAAATAGATAAACTAATTTATTGTTTGTATATTTTAAAAATAAATAAAATACGTTTTTTTATGAATCGCAGTTTTTATTTACCAATTTTGAAGTTTGTGAAGATTCTACATCTCCTTTTTAACCGACTTAAAAAAAGGAGGAAGTTCTCAATGCGACTGTATGTTTTTTTAAATGTTTGTTACCTCATAACTTTTGACTGGGTGAATAGATTTTGATGATTCTTTTTTTATTAAATAGCTGACGCTTCCCGTGTGGTCCCATTACAATTTATTCCAGTTCTGATAATGGTATCCATGAGAAAACCATATAAGTCTTAAATTTGCATTAAGTACATGCGCGACAAAGAGATGAATAACTTAATAACTCAATATCACAACAACCGATTTCGATGATTATTGTTTTTAGTGTATATTAATTTGTTTTGGAATATCCTTTTTTAATATTTGAAGTCGGTTTTTGTTAAAGCATGTCAATTTACAATTATTACAAGAGCAGACTTCATTCATACTGACTAAAACCCCACATTGTTTCCAGATACCTAATAGGTCTTTGCCTATCAAGTTGTTATTTCATAATACTGGCCATTTTAAATGTAATTTATTTATGGCTGGCAATAAATTCTAAATTCAAATTTTTTATTTATTTTTTTATTGCTTAGATGGTTGGACGAGCTCACAGCCCACCTGGTGTTAAGTGGTTACTGGAGCCCATAGACATCTACAACGTAAATGCGCCACCCACCTCGAGATATAAGTTCTACGGTCTCAGTATAGTTACAACGGCTACCCCACCCTTCGAACCGAAACGCATTACTGCTTCACGGCGGAAATAGGTGGGGTGGTGGCATCTACCCATGCGGACTCCCAAGAGGTCCTACCACCAGTGATCACGCAAATTATAATTTTGCGGGTTTGATTTTTATTACACGATGTTATTCCTTCACCGTGGAAGTCAATCGTGAACATTTGTTGAGTACGTATTTCATTAGAAAAATTGGTACCCGCCTGCGGGATTCGAACACCGGAGCATCGCTACATACGAATACACCGGACGTCTTATCCTTTAGGCTACGACGACTACAAAATTTTATTTTATTAAAAAAATACGGAATTGCATTCAAGTTTTTTTATTTGTTTCTTTAGTTTTAACTACATCTGTATCTTTTTCATCAATGAGACACGATGAAAGTGCAATTAATAATGGGATACCAGTTCCTAATGCCGCACAAAAGACGTATGCGGAGTGAACACCACTCCGCATACGTCATTATTATCATGAGCCGTACAAACGAACGCACAACCCGTTATTGGTTTGAGAGCTTCCGACATGAAAATTTTGATCCAAAAAAGTAATACATAGTTTAAAAAAACTAAAAAAATATGCTTTTATAGAAAAAACCCAACTAAAATATAGAAAATTAATTTTAATAAATTTCATTTAAAAATAGTGTAAGAAAAAATGATTTTATTGTAAAAAAAAAAAAAAATTATTATTTTTTTCAATTTTTTTGTGGGATTTTCTATAAAAGCGTATTTTTAGTAGTTTTTTTAAACTATTATTTATTTTTCATTTTTTAGTTGAATTTCATTTTTTCATTATTATTTTTTAAATATTGAATTGTCATCGGTCCTTAATAAGTATGCCAAATTTCAAATTAATCCGACATTTTGAAGGGAGTCAAAATCATGTTCAAAGATTCCGTTACATACTAACATACATACGTCTGAAGCTAATAAAAGCGTATTAAAAATGAACTCCGTGGTGGCCCAAAAACTAAAGTCAACAATAACGAATTAAAGGCGTTAGTGGAAGCTGACGATACTTAATCTACCGCTGAGTTAGCAACAGCTTTCAACGTTAACATCAAAACAATATTAGTCGATTAGCGTCAAATTGGCAAGGTAATAAAACTTGAGTCAGCGGGTGCTGCACGAACTGAAAATCGCCAGCGCGACTAACGTGTTAATAGACCAGGGCTGAAGCCTTTGAAAATGGTAAAAAGTGAAAAAAAATTATAGTAAAGGACGAGAATATAACAAAAATGAAAGCAAAAATAATTTACGGGCGATCTGAGGTCGGGAAGTGGAAGGGGGTGAGTTTTTAAGGGTAGAAAACGGTGTATCTCGATTTCCGGCAAAACTACAAGTCCTATGGAAAAAAAATTAAATGACAAAATTGTCTATACTTATACTTATACTTATAATATTATAAAGAGGAAAGATTTGTTTGTTTGTTTGTTTCGAATAGGCTCCGAAACTACTGGACCGATTTGAAAAATTCTTTTTCCATTAGAAGCCGACATTGTCCCTGATGAACATAGGCTACATTTTTTAACTTTTTTTTTTTTTTGTTTCATGTGTGTTTTAATGTTTCCGAAGCGAAGCGAGGGCGGGTTGCTAGTAGGTAATAAAGAGAGAGACCTACAACTTTTGTAATTACACTTTTTTCACTTTATGTGAAAAATTCAAATAATCAAGTTTTTGGATTTTTATTTTTACCTTACGCAAAAAAAAATTTTTTTTCACGAAATTTTGGTGTAAAGTAATTTTCTATGTTCTAATGACACTGTAATTTTTTTGATTTGAAACATATATTTTTTCACCGTATTTTGACTTAATATGGAAAAAACACCCTAAGTTTCAACCGAAAATTCACGCGTGAAAATATCAGCTTTTTAAAAAAGTCGGGGAGTTTTTTGTTCTTTGAAATCTCTTCTTTCTGATAATGTAAAAAAATATATACTGTAATAAAATATATATTACTGATAAATATACTAATAATAAGTTCTCAGAAAATGCAAAGAAAAGAAAAAAACTCGAATCCGATTTTTTTTTTAATCACTATTTACAATTTTGAGCTATTTAGTAAAATTTACACTTTACTTACTTGAAAAACGTAAGATTCAGAGAGCACTTTCCATAAGATGAAATAAAAAACCAAAAACATTATTATTTTAATTTTTCACATAAATTTTGAGGTTATGTGAAAAAAGTATAATCACAAAAGTTGTAGGTCTCTTAATTATCAACAACTTTGCCATTTAATTTTTTTCCATAGGACTTGTAGTTTTGCCGGAAATCGAGATAAGCCGTTTTTTACCCTTCAAAACTCACCCCCTTCCACTTTCCGACCTCAGATCGCCCGTAAATTATTTTTCCTTTCATTTTTGTCATATTCTCGTCCTTTTTTTTAACGGGTTTCATCCTACTACCTATTATTTTTTTGGTTTCAAAAATTATCGACCCTGATCTATAAGGTATGTCTTGCATTACTTAACAGAGACAGAAACGAAGGGAATTTTTAAGCCGCATTGTCACTTGCGGTAAAAAATGTATTCAACAAAGTTTAGAATATTTCTTGGTAGGTGTAACGCTGGAAAAATTAAATTGGATTTTTTTTTTTAAATTAACGCCATCTAGCGTATACGTGGCGCAGTGTGGAGAAATAAAATAATTTTAAAACACTAAGTAGTTCTCTCACTCGACGCTGCATGACGTGACTGTGCGATCTTGTCTATAGTTCGAAGGTGAGATTAGCACAGCAATATCAGGCAAAATCTTCGAGAACCGTCAGACTATTGCTATAAAAGGACAAGTCACTTTGTCCGAGTCCTTTTTCGATCAACATCTCTCGAGCTGCAGTGAAAGTATTCTTACCCATTTGCCAGAGTCAATTAAATAGTTCCTTGGTGTCTTGTATTAAACCAGGGTAAGTGTTTCATAATTTATTCTCCACACTGTGTCCACAAACTCTAACTAATTAGAAGCTAACATCACTATGTCGTATCGTGTAGGTCCTAATAACTGGTACATTATATGTACATCAGTTAGGGTGCGGAGAGTGACCTTTAAATCACCTTAGAGATCCCACAGTACCTTTCTGCGTGGACGCTGCCGGAAGCGAGGTGCTCTAGCTAGGCGATCCAAGAAAGAGTACTTGACTACGGTAGACCAAGAACACACCTGCATACACAGCCTTGCTCGGATCCAGCAACCCCAATTGCTGGGAAGCAATCCGGTGAACCTTCCATCATCCGTTTGTTAACTAAATTGGTGAAACCGTCATTGTTTCTAGTTATTTAATTTTAAACTAATTTTCTTTGATAACTTTCTCGTGTGTTCGGTATACCTACCGACACACATGTAACATTGTACCTGACCACTAATTTAATCTTTGTAAACTATTATAACAATTGTATCCGTGTTATTTACATAGAATAAACACAACTGTTATATTGTAATTTGTTTTCATTTATTGGTGTGAATCTCCCAGAGCGGTAAGTGGTGGCGCCCTGAGATCCTCCTCACAGAGTCTCCTGTTCACCGGTTGTCTACTGGTGGTGACGCGTCTAGAAGTGGTGCGACTCGACCCCGTGTCTCTCAACCCATATACCACCTTTTGGGGAGTGTCGCGACTGGGCCTCATGTAACATCAACATACCAGGGGCACCCTTAGACAGACAGACACGTTATATAGGGAAATTTTTAATATCCGAGAGGCAGTACAAAGTAACTTTGAAGAGCTTTTGGCTCCCGTACTTCGTGACTTCTTCAAGAAGAGCAATGAAAAATTACAATTGCGCTGGCAGAGTTGCATAGAAACCAGTGTGCTTAGTGCGAGTTTTTTAACGTTCTCGATAGCGTAAAAGTTAACTCATATTTGTATGGAGTGGGATCGTTTGCGTACGTTTGCCCACTTCGACAAAGCGGCACGACACGAGAACCCTCTCATCGTGGCCGCCGGTAACTACATTCCCGATCCTGCGGAAAGAATGGAAAGCAGTCGACGTCGCCCCAAACACGTCATATCGGATCCTCCCGATCCACTAACAGTGCTTCTAGGTACCTCAAACACCTGTCATCGTTCTCGTCGAACCCATCGCTTGCGACGAAGGGCTCGATGAGTAAATTAACCCACAGACACAGCCCACTGAGTTACTCGCCGGATCTTCTCAGTGGATCGCGTTTTCGATCCGGCGGTAGATTCTGCGAAGCACGGCTCTTGCTAGGGTTTGTGTTAGCAACGTCGTCAGGTTTGAGCCCCGTGAGCTCACCTACTAGTTGGTTCTGCTGATATGGCCTCTCAAGGCTATCAGCTTAGGTAGGCAAAAAAAAAATTGCGTACGTTTACCGCTAGGGGCGCTGTTTCAACTGCATACAAAGTTGGGTTAACTTCGCTATCGAGAACGTTAAGAAACTCGCATTAAGCACACAGGGCTGCGTATCGAGGGGTGAAAAGAGACGGTAACCACTTACCATCAGGTGGGCCGTATGCTCGTCTGCTTACAAGGGCAATAAAAAAAAACAGGTCAGCCGTCTGCCTTCAAAGGTATTGAAATAAGCCAAGTGAAAATAGAAAGGTTTTTTTCTACATTTTACTTGCTTAATTAAGCGTTTATAATTATTGTTTGATTACAAAGCTGTTATTATAACACTATCAAACATGAGTCGTAGACATTAATAGAATTAAGTCTGAAAAATGTAAGTTTCATATTTTCTAAATCAAGAACAGCAGTGATGAACAATCTGTTTTCATTTTTTGTTGTTTAGATGGGTGGACGAGCTCACGACCCACCTGATGTTGAGTGGTTACCGGAGCCCATAGACATTTAAAACGTTAATGCCGCCATCTACCTTTAAACCGAAACGCATTACTGCTTCACTGCAGAGATAGGCAGAGTGGTGGTACTTACCCGTGCGGACTCACAAGTGGTCCTACCACCAGTAATTACACGAATTATAATTTTGCGGGTTTGATTTTTATTACACGGTGTTTTTCCTTCTCGGTGGAAGTCAATCGTGAACATTTGCTAAGTACTTATTTCATTAGACTACCTAATTGGTATTTGCCGGCAAGATTCCAATATTGATGCATCGCAAGATACAAATGCACCGGACGTCTTATCCTTTAGGCCACGACAACTTCATTTATATATTTCATCGAAGTACTGCTTCTGTTAGGGCCGATATCGCCCGCCTTATCAATGTGAAGCTACAATAGTCCCTAGAGGCTGTTGGCAGACAAGCGAAACAAAAGCAAATGTAGACACGGTCTAAAAGGCACATCTATATTCCCGTAGATAGGCAAATGAGTTCTCAATTCTCACTGGAACCCAACCCCCATCTTGTGACAAGAGTTCATTCATTCTGGTTAAAAAATAATAAACAAATCAATGGTTCGATTATTTCACGATTTTATTTTCGGCACCGTGAAGTAATCCGTAAGGGTCACTCCGAGAAATCGGTCACCCGGCTGTAAAACCGCATCGATAAAAACACAATCCACCAACTAGAATATCTCGGAGACACACATAGTAGTACAATTATATTCGTGTGTTACGTATGCAATATAAATCGGACTTAGGGCCTTGCTCTGGCGAATTGTTCCGATAAGGCTATCTCCCTTCAGCGCCGGGATGGTGCACCCTCAAATGCAGCTTCAAACTGGCGGTCTGCACGAACGCCTTCCCGCACTCCTTGCACACACACCTCTTATCGTTCGTATGTATACGCCTATGCATTTTCAATGTGGTCTTTCTCTGGAATGTCTTTTTGCAGAATTCGCATTCGAACGGTCTCGCGTCGCTGTGCTTCACCATGTGCAGTTGCAGGGCCCTGTCGTTGAAAAGCTTCAGGCCGCAGACTTGGCACGTGACCGTCTTCTCCTTTAGGTGCACCCTGGATTTGTGCTCGACGAGGCAGCCATGCTTGATAAACACCTGCGGGCATTGGTCGCAACGGAACTGCAGAGTCTTCACGTCGTGCACGATGGCCAAATGCCTGTTCCTGGTGTATTTACTCGTGAATACTTCGTGGCATTTCGTGCACTTTAGCTCCGGGTTCCTGTGAGCGACCTCGTCGTGGTACTTCATCGCCTTCTTGCTCGCGAACGTCTTGTCGCATTTCGGGCAATCGATTTGTCCGTCGTTGTGTACGGTTTTAACGTGATAGTCGACGTGCTTCTTCGCTACGAAGCCCTGGCCGCAGATCTCGCACAGGAAGCTGCTCGACGAACTGTGATATTTGAGGGTGTGCTTTAGGAAAGTGCCGAAAAACTTGAATTTCGCACCGCACTCTTCGCAGTTCATCACGTCCGACAATTTGAAGGTTAAGACGCCGCGGCGCATCTCCTTGTTGAAAGTCAGCTTGTGGACGGTCGTCGCGTGCTCTAAGAAATTTTCGAAGCCTTCGATCCGCTTCGGGCACAGTTTACAAGACACGTCTGAGACGTCGAGCTTCAAGCGACAGCTTCCGAGGAGGGAGCGCAGGATTTTAGTGACCTTGGCGTCTTCGTGCTCCTCGGCCATGTGGACCTTCAGCTGGGAGCTCTCGTCGAACCGGCTCCTGCAGAAGAAGCAGGTGAACTTGTTGGCGAACCAGCGAAACGGGATCGCTCTCGAGTTCTCGATCACGACGGTCAGCAAGTTGGACAGTTCGTGCTTCCTTCGGAGCTCAGACATCTCTTCGAGGGGGACGTTCGGTATTTGTACTGGAAAACAATTGAAAGTGAACGTTATTATTATCTTTTAATGTTACTATAGCGTAATTCTACTTGTACAAGTATTATGTATGACGCCTACCTCATAACACATGACACATTTTTTTTTATTGTTGCACAAAACTAATTACAACCATAGAAATTATAAGTTTAAATATTTAATTTAATAATCTGGATTTCAATTCAAAACAGGTGCATACAGAAAAAAATTAACCACTAAACACATGCCTAAATACTAAATACCTTGTGTGTATATACCTACACATGTTTAAACGCATATATGTATATACACATGTGTACACATATACCTATATACACACGCTCACACACATATGTAAGTTACTATCTAATTAAATTAAATATATTTTTGGCATCGGCCAGTATTTTAATAAATTAGTTTTTGTATATTAATTCATTCATGTGCTTCGTAAAATTGACCTGACCAATACAAGTAATAGAATTAATTCCACATCATTGTTTATCTGCCGTCAATCTACATGTCACTGAAGACTGCTACAACCGTAATGAAGTTGCTCTTCATTACAATTCAAAACTGTACAAAATGTATACAAAAGTCAATGTGTACGATTCCGTCAGGTGCGCAGGTTATAAAATTAAATAGCGCCAAAAGTCCCCTTCTGCAGGATGAAATATATATACTTCTAAACTTCTATACTAACATTATAAAGAGGAAAGATTTGTTTGTCTGTTTGTATTGAATAGGCTCCGAAACTACTGAACCGATTTGAAAAATTCTTTCACTGTTTGGAAGCTACACTATTCACGAGTGACATAGGCTATAATCTTTTTTGAAAAAATTAGGGATCCTTACTAAAACTCCAATAAATTAACCCAAGGTGTAAAAAAATTACCTAAAATATTCTTTACATCGCGTGCCCTGCGAAAACTATTGATGATAGAATAAAATAATGTACTACGACTTTGTAGAACATATTATTATTTACAAAAAGAGTCGCGACAGCATAATATGTCTAACTATTATAGTTAAGCTGCAATAAGTGTTCTTTTATTTTAAAAATAAAACAACGTCAAATATCGTTGAAATTTTTGTTAAAGACCCGAGCGAAGCCGGAGTGGGCCGGTAGTAATACCTATATGTATAGACCTTACCTTCATACTGCTTCATACAATAAAGTAAACTAAATTCATACAATAAATAATTTAATTGAACCGGTTATCTATCACTAACATTATAATCTGAAAGCGTGTTTTTTTGTCCTTTTTTCATCTCAAAATGAATCGTCGTATTAACATGTTCTTGTGATATTGTGATTTAAAAACGATAGTTTTAGATAATTTTTTTCCGTACCTATTCTAGTGACCGCGAGGGGTCATACTAGATTCTCCGGGCCAGTAGGTAAGCTGGCGGGGCTTTAACCTGGTGACGTTGCTAATACTAGTCCTAGCAAGAGCAGTGCTTCGCAGAACCTACCACCGGATCGAAAACGCGATCCACTGAGAAGATCCGGCGAGAAACTTAGTGGGCTGTGTCTATGGGTTAATTTACTCGTCGAGCCCTTCGTCGCAAGTGACGGGTTCGACGAGAACGATGACCGGTGCTTGAGGTGCCTAAAAGAACCGTTAGTGGATCGAGAGGATCCGAAATGACGTGTTTAGGGCGACGTCGACTGTTTACCATTCGGTCCGCAGGATCGGATATGTTAAATTTCAATGTGCGGAACTTGTCGGAACAAGCTTTTCTTGAAAATGTCGTTAGCGAGATTTAAGCATCCGTCAAATATCTTGAGTTCAATGTTGGCTAGCCGCAACAGAACACGTCTGAGTATCTAGGCAGAGATAATTTAAATAAAACCTCCCAACATTTAAGCGTTTATATTTATTGTTCGATTATTTCGTTTATTTTTACTGGTGGTAGGACCTCTTGTGATCCCGCGCGGGTAGGTACCACCACCCTGCCTATTTCTGCCGTGAAGCAGTAATGCGTGTCGGTTTGAAGGGTGGGGCAGACGTTGACACCATACTGAGGCCTTAGAACTTATATCTCAAGGTAGGTGGCGCATTTACGTTGTAGAGGTCTATGGGCTCCAGTAACCACTTAACACCAGGTGCGCTGTGAGCTCGTCCACCCATCTAAGCAATAAAAAGAAAAAAAAGATTACAAAGGTATTATTATAACACGTCAAACATGAGTCGTAGACATTAAAAGAATTAAGTCTGAAGAATATAACTTTCATATTTTCTAAATCAAGAACAGTAGTGATGAACAATCTGCTTTAAATATTTTTTGTTTAGATGGGCGGACGAGCTCACGGCCCACCTGGTGTTAAGTGGTCACCGGATCCCATAGATATCTACAACGTAAATGTCGCCACACATCTTGAGATATGAGTTCTAAGGTCTCACTATAGTTACAACGGCTGCCCAACCCATAAAAACCGAAACGCATTACTGATTCACGGCAGATATAGGCAGGGTAGTGGTACCTACCCGTGCGGACTCACAAGAGGTCGTACCACCAGTAATTACGCAAATTACAATTTTTGCGGGTTTGATTTTTATTACACGATGTTATTCCTTCACCGTGGAAGTCAATCGTGAACATATTTGTTAAGTACATATTTCATTAGAAAAATTGGTACCCGCCTGCGGGATTCGAACACTGTTGCATCGCTAGATAGGAATTCACCGGACGTCTTATCCTTTAGGCAACGACGACTTCACAACTAGCGAATAATTAAGAAAACAAAATTAGATATTTCCAATTACAAGCTTTTATTTATATAAGCCAATTTAATATCTTCTATATACATATTATATTTGTTTCTTGTAACAATCAATTGAAAACGTAATCGCTTTTTAAGGTGGTAACGTCATCAGTGTAATAAATGATGAAGAAGCGTTGCTTCCAAAATTTACATTCCGTGACATTGCAGGCCTTTCATCCTTCTCTATAAATGTTCCCCGTTTATTTAATAAATAAATCACTATTTTTTGCTCCGAACACAATATCTTTGTGAGCACTTTCATGACTACCTCCATACTTTGAGTTTAGCATTAATCCAACGAAGACGTTATAAATTAATTATTATTAAAAATATTAGCATTCTCTATAATTTTTAATTATTTTCTCTAATCAGCTAACCCAGCGCTCGGAAACATTGTCATTTTTTTTATTGCTTATATAGGTGGACGAGCTCACAACCCACCTGGTGTTAAGTGGTTACTGGAGCCCATAGACATTGACAACGTAAATGTTCCACCCACCTTGAGATATAAGTTCTAAGGTCTCAAGTAAAGTTACAACGGCTGCCCCACCCTTCAAACCGAAACGCATTACTGCTTCACGTCAGAAATAGGCAGGGTGGTGGTACCTACCCGCGCGGACTCACAAGAGGTCCTACCACAAGTAATATGTCATCCAAAAGAACCAAATATAGATAATGCACAATTGAAACTTATACAAAGAACCATTATTTTTCTAGCATACGCATATATCGCCTTGTTTTAAAGATACGTTATTACGTTATTAATAATTACGTAAGAAACGGAAACATTTCACGGAAGAGCCAAGGAGTTGAAAAGCCGCCGATTGCGGACCTTTGAGCTAGGCGTATTCCTCGGTAAAGGTTTTTCAATGAAAGAAATTTAAGGAAACCTATTGCAGTTTTGATTTTTATTACACGATCTTTTTTTTTATTGCCCTTGTATGCAGACGAGCATACGGCCCACCTGATGGTGAGTGGTTCCCGTCGCCCATGGACTTCAGCAATGCCAGGGGCAGAGCCAAGCCGCTGCCTACCAGTCACATTACTCCTTCATGAATTCGTTCGTCAACATATTTTAAATGCGTATTTCTATTAGAAAATTGATGGAAAATCGGTATTGATGTTTTAAATTTACGAGAATAATTAGATTACTGGCCTGTTGAAAATTAAATATATGCGTTACTTTTGTATTTAAAACGAAAGTATTGTGAATGATTTAATGATAATTATAAAGCATTTAGCAAACGATTGAGCTTCAATAACTCGAATGATGCACCCTCATGTGAAGCTTAAGACTCGTGGCTTGAACGAAAGCTTTCCCGCAAACTTTGCACACGTAACGACGATCATTCGTGTGTATTCTTTTGTGTAAAGTTAAAGTCTTCTTTCTCTGGAAGCTTTTTTTGCAAACGTCGCATTCAAACGGCCTCGAGTCGTCGTGTCTAACCATGTGCCTGACCAGCGCCTCTTTATCGAACATTTTAAAGCCGCAGAGGTCGCAAGTGACCGTCTTCTCTTTCATGTGAACGCGCAATGTATGCTGAACTAAAACGCGATTCGTAGTGAACACTTGCGGACAATGATCACATTTCAACTGGAGCATCTTTTCGTCGTGCACGAGCGCCAAATGTCGCAATTTCAGGTACCTACTGCCCAAAACTTCGGGGCATTTCGGGCATTTGAACAGATTCTTGTGGTCCTTGTCGATGTGGTTCTTTAGGGCCGTGTGATTCTTGTACACCTTCTCGCATTCGGTGCACTTGTGGTTCGAGTGGTGCACGTTTCGGACGTGGCTCTCCAGATTGGCTTTGTTCACGAATCCTTCGCCGCAAGTCTCGCACAGGAAAACGCTGTCCTTATTGTGGAACTTGTGAGCGTGCTTCAGAAGCGAACCGAAGAACCTGAAGCTCTCGCCGCAGTCGCAACACGACATCACGTAATCGTCCAATTTGAACACGAACAGACACTTCCCGACCTCTCTATTGAGGCGTAGTTTGTGTGTATCGGTAGCGTGTTCCAAGAACAAGTCGAATCTCGAAAATCCCTCGGCGCATATCTTGCAGCTCAGATCCGAAATGTCCAGTTTCACGCGGGCCGTGTTCAACACCCTACGAATCGCGTTCGTTACTTTGACGTCGGCGTGCTCTTCCGCCATGTGCTCCTTCAGCTTCGAACTGTGCACGAAAGGAATGCAGCAGTAGAAGCACATGAACTTGTTGTTGAACCAGCGGAACGGTCGTATCGTCGATGTATCGATCGCGACGCAAAGCAACCTGTACAGTTCGTCTCGTTTTTCCGTATGCGACATGTCCTCGAGTCTCGTCGGGGTGCGTCGCTCTGAAACAAACCACGTGTCTTGCTTTAGCTTCCTTCGGAGCATTCGCTGGGCGATTCTCTTTCGCGTGTTCCACGTCTACATTGGACGCTTTTCAAATTGGGACGTGTGAAGAATCGTCAAGAGATCATTACGTGTTTATGGTAGGTTAGCTCATAAATTGTAAGGAAACTCAACATCGATTTGAGTCTCTAATTATTGAGAACATATGTGGGGTTACGACTTAGACATCAGAAATGAAACCGAATTATAGCATCCACGAATGTTGTACTATTAATTAATCACTCATCGTAACCTAGTAATATAAACAAACTATAAAAATTGAGACGGGTGTAATTAAATGACAATCGTTAATTATAACCAAAACAAGGACAATTTTGTAGATGGCGAATGGTAGTGTAGGCGGTACGTCACACGGAGCAGTACTATCTGTCACAGACAGAGTTCCGTGGACCCCGCAATAGGGTACTAATCGTCAATGACAATGTTCCACGTCCAATGTTTGTGCAGTACTGACGGTCGAGAGACAGTGGTCCGTACACCAAGAAGACGCATCCGTTCCAATGCGTGAAGAGTTTTTTTTTTCTACCTTAGCCTTGAGAGGCTATTTCCGCGTAACCTTAACTAGTAGGTGAGCTCACGGGGCTCAAACCTGACGACGTTGCTAACATGAACCCTAGCAAGAGCAGTGCTTCGCAGAATCTACCACCGGATCGGAAACGCGACCCACTGAGAAGATCCGGCGAGAAACTCAGTGGGCTGTGTTTGTGGGCGTGCAGAGCATTCCGCTCAACGGCTTATGAGCGCTAATTTCCCACCCGGCGATTCGCCGCCAGAACTGTCAAAATGTTATTGTCTCATGTACGTGCCACTAGCGCTATTTAAACGTAATTTCTCGCAGTTGCCAGTACACAATATATGACTACCCGTCATATATATATTTTTATATTACGGTACGGATGAGCGTACGTACGATGCGCCTGGTTTTAACCGGTTACCAGAAGCCATGGATGCAATAGCAAGTGGGTACACTTTGAGGCATGAGATCGAAGCCTCAGTGTCTGACGGTTGTCCTTCAAACAGGAGTACGACTTCGAAGTAAAACACCACACCTGCCTACAGTACGTAGCTCACAATACAAACTTTTTAAACCTAGCAATTTTAGTAGCTACATAGAATGGAAGATATATTATTACTAATGACTGAATTTGGCTTAGGTCACTTTCAAAATAACCTTGCATATATACAAGTTCCGGACATTAACATTTAGAATCGTCGGTCTAACCTAGCAAATTCGTCCCGCCAGTGGAAGATCTCGTTTCCTACAATAGTTATGAAATATCTAAAATCGAAAGACCTTTCTATTCTGTATGTCTCTAATACTGGTTTCTTTATCAATATCACGAAATGTTAAATAAATTACGAAGCATAATATTCATAAAAGATTTAATTTCACGCTAAAGAATACGAGTATCAATTCTCCGACAAAACTAGCGAGTTTCGGTAGCGCGAGACTGACTGGGAATGTATAGCACATGAATATAACCCAGCAACTTAACATAGGTAATTGACAATAATGTCATCTAAATATCACTCATGTTGATGCTTCCGTCTTTTGTGCAGAGCCAGACACCTTTTCCATTTGAATACTTTCCCGCAGTGCACGCAGCTAAACAAAGGCCGCGCATTGTCGTGCACCGCCATATGTAGCTTCAGAGCGTGTACATCAAACGCTTTTAACCCGCAAACGTGACATGTAGCCGATCTCTCCTTCAAATGCGCCCTCGCCTTGTGCCCAATCAAAGAGCTCTTCCTGAAAAACACTTTCGCGCACACATCACAACCAAACTGTTTAGTTTTCAGATCGTGCTTCGTGGCTAAATGCATATTCCTCAAATATCTACTACTTAAAGTCTCTGTGCAGTGTGGGCAACTGAATTTGCCGGTCCTGTGGAATGTTTCGGTGTGCTTGGAATACGCTCGCCGTGTCGGGAACCAGTTTAGGCACAACCGACATTTGTAGGGCATATCCGAATGAACGTTCTCAATGTGACTCCGCAGTGTACCTTTCAAAACGAAACTTTCTTTACAGACATCGCAGATAAACTTCTCGGACTTGTTATGGTATTTATTCATGTGGCGTAGTAACGGCGTGAAGAATTTAAAACCCTCCCCGCAGTGCACACAAAACATCCCATCATCTGACAATCTGAACACGTACAGATTCTCCATAACAACATCCGAATCGAAAAACAAATTGTGCTTTCGCGCGTGAATGATAAACTCTTCTATATTCGACATTTGTTCCTCGCATTTCTTGCACTTAATCTCCGTGATGTCCCACTTTATCCTTTTTATGGAGCCGATTCTCTTCATCACTTTGTTAATTTTGATCTCGCGATGCGCTTGTTTCGTGTGCTGTTTCAGTTTTAAGCTATCGACGAACGTTTGTTCACAATAGAAGCACATATATCGGCTCAGATACCACTTGAACGGCATCACTGTGGTGAGCTCTAAGGCGCAACTCATGAAGCTTTTCATTTCAGATCTGACGCTATCTCTTTTAAAATTCGAGGTTCTCTTCTGCTTCACTTGGTATTTGACGTCTGAAATGAAGAGAAACATCACGTGAGCCTCCCAAAATATAAAATTTGTATTCTCCTCCGATCTGATAAAACGCGAGACAAGTCTTGAGAGTTATCGAAAAATTTCTTGGTTCCGTTTTATTCTTCATCTCGCTTACATTTTTCCTTTAATATCGTTACGAGTTTGTTCTAATTTCATATTCTTAATAGTTCTACTGCTTGCAAGTTGTTACAATATTTTATATAAAATAATTCCTTTCGAAGATCTGATCCAATATGTCGGTTTGTTTTCAAAGCGTTTCACTATTGGAGTAATTTTTACAAATTTTCCTGCAGAAATGAGCTTTAATAAGGGGAGATTAGTGACATTGTCGGCGACAATCAATCGATCAGTCCGTGAAAACGATATGCAATACTCGCTTGATACAATCAATAACAAAAACGACTTTTAATATATAATCTCGCTTTCTGCGTTATCGTTATTTTGGAAATTTCGAATTCTTCTCAGTTTTTGTAGTCCCAGGCGACTGCGCGAGATCAAACACTAAAAGTATTGTTCTAATTGTGCGTACAAAATTCGCAAAATCCGGAGCATATACGCATTCGCCGTATTTCCTCGAGATAAAGAGGTGCCTGAGTCGCTCTCTTGTCCGAAAACTGTCGGTCTCATAGCAAGAGCCCATAGACGTCTACAATGTAAACGCCGCCACTCACCATGAGACATGAATTCTAAGGTTTCGGTATAGTTATAACGGCTGCCCCACCCTTCAAACCGAAACGCATCACTGCTTCACGGCAGAAATAGGCAGGGTGATTACCTATTAGGTACGAGGTAGGACTACCAGTATCACCAGTAAATTAACCTTATTAGATGCGAGTATATTTTTTTTACAAGTCGGATCCAGGCGACTTGACAACGCAAAGCCGACTTCTCCCAAAACATGTCTAGTCGGATTCCCAGCTCTCGGGTGCTTTTAGGCTCTTCAAGAACCGCTCACGATCCTCTTCCAATTAGTCAATTATGATGAAGAATTAGTAGGAAAAAAACCCAAGTAAACACGGAATGGATCCTACAGAATCGTAACAATTAATAATTGTTAAACCAGCAGTAATATCATACTGTGAAGAATACCATTAAGCGTTGAAAGGAAAAATACATCTAAAATAAAACAAACGAAAATTACGAGCAACCGTCAATGATATATTTGAAAACACGCAAAAGATCAAAACTTAAAGGAGTCCCGCTTACACAATACACAATATTCAGAGAGGTCCAACAAAATAGACCGTCATCTATCTTAACAAAGGCATATAGGCGGATTCTTGCCCAGGTACGAGCATGTCAATACGTAACTATGCTAAAAATAAATAAATAATAAAATATGCAATCCTGGAAATAGGATTCATTTCAGATTACCAAAAAAACGAAACTGATTTCCAAAAAATCTTTTAAAAGGCATAGCATATAAAAGAAAAATGTAATTTACATCATTCTGTGAATTAAAGATAGACCTATTTGCATAAACGGTATTTAATTGGTAGAATTAGAGAAATTGGGTAAGCATTTGGAGATTGGGTTATTTCGTAAATTTATTTCAATGCTTTGATAATGATTTTTTAGCAACCCCATCATTCACTGAACAGATTCAACTTAAGATAAGAAAGTTCATATTAATATTAATTCATCTAACGTATTATTGAGTTCAACACCCACTGAGTTTCTCGCCGGATATTCTCAGCGTGTCACGATTCCGATCCAGTAGTATATTCATCGAAGCATTGCTTTTGCTAGGGCCAGTTTTAGCAATTCTCTTAAGTTGAGCTCATGAGCTCACCTACTCGTCCGCGCATGGCCGGAACAGCCCCTTAGGCTACCAACGACAAAGTAGGAAAAAAAAGAATCAATTAGAATTCCAGCAAACGGAGATTAAGCGACTTTATCTTTACCGTGCACATTTGAACTGTGCTTTTTCAAGTTGTTCTTCGTTTTGAAAGCTTTACCGCAGACCATACACCGAAAGTTCCTCTCGTCGCTGTGCCTCGGCAAATGTAGCTGGAGACTGGACCACTGAACGAAGGCTTTACCGCACAATTTACAAATATATCGCCTCTCGTTTGTATGGATTCGCATGTGTAGCTTCATCGCGGCTTTCCTGGCGAAGTGCTTATGGCATATCGAGCACTGAAACGGTTTGGCGTCGCTGTGTCTCACTTTGTGCATGTTCAGTATCCCGTTGTTGAAGAACCTCATGCCACAAACCTCGCACGTCACGTTCTTCTCCTTCAAATGTACCCGACGCGTGTGCTTGTGTAGCTGCTCGTGCAATCGAAATTTCGCAGGGCACTTGTCGCAGCTCTGCCAGCTTATCTCATCGGAATGGACCGTGTAAATGTGTCCGTCCTTGTCTTTGGTGCTGCGAAATGTTTCCGCGCAATAGGGGCAGTTGGTTTTCGATTCATGCACGAGTCGCACGTGCAGCTCTTTCCGACGCCTACTTAAGAACCTCTTACGGCAAAATGTACATTCGTGTTTCCTGATGTGTAAAGAGTCATCGAGCTCGTTCTTGTAAGGGATGATTTCGTTGGAGCTCGCCAAGCGGTTGTGCTCTGTTATGATGTGCGACAGTAAAGTGCCGAACAGTTTAAATTTTCGGCCGCAGTTCAAACACGAAAAATCGGTGTCCGTTAATTTGAAACACAAGATGTTTCGAGGCACAAATGTGATCTGATTCAACTCGTGTTTTTCGCGAATGTGGTAGATGAAATCCCCCAAACTGTCAGCCGCTGCGTCGCAGAGCATGCATCTTAAACTCGTTATATCAAGATTTATGAATGGATCCGTTATTAGTTCTTCCAATTCGTTTGTCGATTCTGCGTTGTGCTGCTCGGTGTTGTGGGCCCTCAAATGCAGAACGCTTTGAAATCGTTTGCCGCAGAAGAAGCATTTGTGCCAATTGCCGTGCCTTTTAAACGGCATGGCTGTCGAATTTTCTAGAACCGTTGCTAACACCCTCCATGATTTTTTGGCTTCGACTAGTTCCGCGTCGACAATGGACGCCGATTCCTTGTCAAAGTAACGCGATCGTCCTGTAAATCGTAAAATTACAAGCTGTAATCTGTTTGTGCGTCCATTAACGAGAAGACCGTAACAATATCTCCCTCATAATGTTCTATTCGAACTATCTCATCGCATCATAACTTCTTTTTAAGTGAACAGACAACTACATATATAAATCATAATAGACACACAATCAACAAGGGCGGCTGGCCTTGTTTACCGTTGAGCAGGTGAAAGACAAATAATAACAAAAAGCCGTAGATCGAATCAGGATTTTATTGACTACCCTCACGACTGCATCGTGTAATAATGTCTAAAGCTTTCGCACGGAAACAGCCAACTGTTTGAGAGTGCCCGTCCCACAATTTCTCTGACCCACTATTGAGGTACAAAAGTTGGATTGGAAACGACATTGGCCCTAAATTTCGCGCCTTTTTGGTGGATATTCCTCAAATGCTGTATCATGTTCTTCCTAGTCTTGAAGGCCTTGTCACAGGACGGGCACGGGTGATTTCGTTCGTCGCTGTGCTTTTTCATGTGGAGCCCTAAGCTGGTCTTCCCGAAGCCCTCCCAGCCACAGACGCTGCACATCACGTTTTTCTCCCTGAGATGCTTTTCTCGTATGTGCGTTAGTAACCGATTCCTATAGACAAAACTCAGCGAACAGTGCGGGCATTTGAACTCTTCTTTCAGCTTGTGAATCGTTATCATATGCCGAGTGCGTCTGTAGTGATTCTCGAATGTTTCAGCGCAAAACAGGCACCGGTACCTCTTGTTGTGCGCTTTCTGCAGATGCGTCCTCATCCTCGTCATGCTGACGATCGTTTCGCCGCAAATATTACACTCGACTGGCTTCTTCTCGTGATCTTGGGCGACGTGGTCTCGCAGCAGCCTCTTCGATTTGAAATGTTGGCCGCAAACGTCACACAACAACGGGGACAGCCCGAAATGTTCTTTGTTCGTGTGTATTAGTAGAAACGAGAAGTTTGTATAGTTTTTACCGCATATCACGCAATTCACCGTCATGTCTTCCAATCTGAACGGTCTAATACAATTACCTACGTCAGTATTGAACGACATTTTGTGTTTCCTTATCGAATGTTCAATTAGTGAATCTAAATCGTTTATTTGTTCGGAACAGAGACGACATCCTATGTTCGAGACGTCAACGTAAATAACCGACTCCCAGTATTTGTTCATTGTCTTTTTAATTATCTCCGGATCTTGGTGCGTCGTTTGGTGTGCCTTCAAATCTCTCGGCTCCTTGAATATTTCGTAGCAGTAGAAGCATCTGAATGAGCTTTTCAACCATCTAAACGGTATCAGGGTAGATTTCAAGAGCAATTCGGTACCGCTCTCTCTCAAAACGTGGAGTTTATCTTTGATCACGTTTCGTTTTTCGATTTTATTATCTATCGACGTTTTAACACGTTTTTTCCTCACAGGGCTGCGTACGTCCCTTTGCCCTGCCTTCGTTTCTTCGCGTAACTCAATCTTAATTTCGGTAACGACCGCGTTCGTCTCTGAAACGAAAATGTGTCCTCATAAAAAACCTTTAGAATATTCTTATTTGTTTCACGTTGTTACGGTAAAGAAACTTAACGCCAATCGAAAAAAAATATTTGATCTGCCTCATATTAACCGAATACTGTGGAAATCCGAGGCGAAAATATTTAAAAGTACCCTACGAATATGGATTAAACAATACGAAATTGGCGGTAGGGTTTTTTCATGCATTTTAATATACATAATGTTCTTTCAGATGGACGCTTTATATTGATGCACTTTAGTGCAGTTTGCACACGACTATGGCTATGTTTCCTTCATTTTCCAAATCCTTCCCCTCAATCGCAGACACTACATGTTTTTCTCCCTAAGGCTCTTCTCCCTGATATGCC